TTTGTTGTCGTTTTGTCGTTCTGTCATTTTGCCGTACAACTGGGCTCGTAATAAGCACAGGTGCCTGCGGTGGGCTCTGGGTGGGCGCTGCCGCTCTGCTTCGCAGCTCCGGCTTGGAGCACCTGGGGCCCTTCACCGCCGCCGCTGCCGTACTGGACGACATCCGCCGCCGCGTCGCGGCCGCTGGTGCTCGCGCTAGCCGGGTGGCGGCGGAGACGGGCAGCGTGACGGCGGGTGTGGCGGCCGCCAACCAGGAGGTCCGGGGGGAGAAGGAGAGCGGGGGACTGCCGGCGGCGGCGGCGGCGGCGGCGGCGGGGGAGCGGCGGCCGTGGTGGCGGCGGCGGCCATGGGCCCAGCGGCGGCCGCGTGTCGCGAAGGTGCAGACGGTGGAGGAGAAGGACGCGGAGTCGGCTCCGGCAGCTATGGAGGCGGCGGCGGAGGAGCGGCAGCGGCGTCCTTGGAGAGTTGACAAGCTGCTGAGGGGGCGGGACGGTGAGTGCCTCAAAGGGCCCCATCCGCGGGTGCGGTGCGCGAAGCGTGTTGGGAATCCCCTGAGGAGACTTGTTTTGGTGATGGGTTTTTGGTGGGGGGCTTAGTTGCGCTTTGTGAGGAGAAGAGTCTTGGGATGTACGGCAACGACAACAACGACAAGGGCGGCCATGAAAATCCCTACCTTCTGCTGGAAGATATGACGCACCGTGGTGGTCCGGACCACGAGGTTTTGCACCTACTCTGTCTGGGAAGTGATTGGGTTCATGGCAGCAGCAGCAGTAGCAGCAGCAGTAGCAGCAGCATTAACAAGGAGGGGCTGGCTCACGAACCCCCACAGCGAACCCAGATCAAGTCGGCCCGGCCCCTCCAGGCTGCCTGACAAGAGCGCTCTCAACAAGAGCTCGCTCCTCCTGAACCCAATGCCAGAGCTGTTCGATGCTAACAGTACTAAACAGTGAACATGGAGCGAACGAAGGCTTACTTTCGGCGCGTTTAATGGTATGTATATATGCCTTGTGCCGTATCCTGACGCACCCCGGGCCTGCAACCCCGCCCTCCCGGATGGGGCCTCGCAGCCCCTGCGGCGGTGGCGCAGGCGGCTGCGGTGGTGGCGGCGCCGGCGGTAGTGGCAGTGGGCGGTGTCAGCGATGCTGTTGTGCGCGCCAAGGACTATGTGGTGGAGAAGGTGGAGGGAGCCGCCGCCGCAGCAGCAGAGACAGCGGCGGACAACGTCAGCAGTGTCGCGCAGCATGCCGTACAGCGTCGTATAGCGCGTGCGCTGGGTGCCTTCTGACTGCCACCGTCAATGGCTGGCGGCGAGGACTGCGGCGGCGGCGTCGGCGGCGGCGGCTTAGAAGTAGAGTCGGCGGCATGGGACGAGCTGCTGGTCGTGTTGCATTTGGCGGCCAATGCCGCGTTTCTCTAGGCCCCGTCAGCAGGCCACCGAAAGCGGGGTGCCGCTAACCGACTCCTCGATTGGAATCGAAGCCGAAAGCGAGAGGCTGCAGGAATGTCTTTTTCTGGCTGTCCCGCTTACGTGTGTCAATTTTTTGGTTTTGGAGAGCTCTCCAACCCCCCCCAAGGCCCCCCCAGCTCGTCCCTGCTGTGGCGACGTCCCTATTTCCCCCCTCGTCCTGTTGCAGAAATAGGTGACCTTGTTGTGGTGGTGCGCAATCTATTGTTTAGTTTGAAATAGTGGATCCGGTTCTCAGCAGAGGGGATATGATCATGCAATTGCAAGTACGTGCAAGGCGGTCAGGGATCTCGGTAATCCTGTGGTCGCCTTCCCTTCCCCCTGACCTTTTGGTTCTGCCATAGTTCTGGGTAGTGGGTAGGCAGTCAGGATGAGACGCCGCTGCTGCGTTAGCTTTGTTGTGGAACCTTATGTTGCTAGGGGCGGTAGCGGCGGAATGGCCTAGGGAATGGCTGCGCTGAAGGCTCGCGGAGGTCGCCGAGAATGCTCCCTTGGCGCTATAGGTTGCATTGTCACAGGATAGGATTCTCTCGGAGAGCAGGGCGAACCGATGAATGCGGATTCTGACCCGACATTGCAGGGCTTTGGAGTTGGTTGATTTCGACGTCTTACGGATCATTACCGAATCGTTTGAACTTTTGCAGGAGACGGCACTGTTTCGTTAGGCCATACAATTGCAGCCGCGGGGCAGCGCAGCAGCTGAGGTAGTCTGCAGATGCATTAGCTCAAATGCATCCGTCTCCACCCACCCACTTACCTAACCACCTACCTAACCACCCTTCGTATCGTCTGTGTGCAGTGGTGCAGAGGGCGGGAGGAGATTTAAAAACTCTTTACCGCATTCCACAGACTCAGCCTCAGCCACACAGCCCAGAACCAGGATATGGCGCACAGGCCAGGGCACAGAGCACGGTCTTACGAGGTGCAGGACAGAACAGGACAGGCGCAGAGCCCGACAGGGCGTACTCCGCAACGGGACACACAGACTTGGACTGACTCGTTAGTCAGTCCCTTCTGATGTAACTGACGTAACGTTAACAGATTGTGACAGCCTGAGGAGCTGTGCATCTGAGGTTTACCAGTAACAAAAATACATGATAAAGTTGTTAATCGCAGCGCTCGTTCCCTTTCACGTTTCGACCATCACTGGCTGTGACACTTGGGATGTGCTGATGTCGAGGTTTAAGTACACATAGAAGTTTGTATGGCGTGTCGTGCCATCATCCATCGGCTCTTACGCCCTGCTAGCATCTTGAATAATGCTTCGCAACGCCTGCTTAGCACTTCAACCGCAACCGGCCCGGAAGTCAGCGCCGCATTCGAAAGGGCGATCACGCTTGAAGTGGCGCAGCACCTCAATGATAATGTAAGGCAAGGAACTTGAATTAATGACATAACTTAGGGTTTGTCCTCTTTCTTTTCGCGGAAGCTCCCCGCATGCTGCGGCATGGAGGCGACTCAGCCCAGCCTTGCGCCGTGCACATTACTTCCACAGGGCTTTGCCGTTGTGGACGGAGTTTTCGGCCGGGATGTGGCAAGGCAGCTGCGAGCCGAAGTACTGCAGTTGTACGAGCAGGGGCTTATGCACAAGAACTGCACGCACCTGGTGGTTTCAAACTGCGGTCAGCAGAGCCCAAACCTCAGCCTAGCTGGTCGCCCTGTTGGGCTGCTGGGAGGGCTCCTGGCCCATATTTGGCCCAGCCCTCCTTTCCAGGCCCCCTATTCCCCTTTATCACGTCCCAAAACGCTGTCCTGTGCTGTGAAGGCGCCTCGCCAAAGCATCCCCCAACCGCACATCCCTCCTCACCGCTACTTGCCACGTATGTGCCGTATCCTCTGCTGCGCCTCGTGACTCTTCCATCCTCCGTGTCCGGGCGGAGGTCACCTTCCGGGTCCTCTTTCGGGTTTCATCGCCCAATCAACAGTGATACTTTACACTCACCCTCGCGCTTACTCGGCATTCACTCGTTGAAGACTAATAACCGTATCTGTCGGCGACCACCACCACCACCGGGATGACGCCCGGGATGACGCCACCAGTAACAACAACCAAGTTATTACTCTAAAGCAACCTGACCTGATCTGACGTGACAGACTGAGTATCGTCCGTCTTCCACACACTACTACACACAGACCAATCCCACCCAACCCCAACCGCAACCCCAACCGCAACCGCAACCGCAACCCCAACCCCCCACGCGGGCAGGTGAGGGACAGCTCGACGGCGCTGGTGGAGAAGTCCCACATACACGAAGCGGAGCTGTCACTGGATTCCGGGATACAGGTACTTGTAGTGATTGTCGTACATTGTAGTACAAGCAAAGCATGGCTTTTTTTGATTGGACACCACTTGTTCATTTGGGACAAAGTGGGAGCGACGGGTGCTCTCGCCCAGCCCAGCCCAGCCCAGCCCAGCCCAGCCCAGCCCAGCCCAGCCCAGCCCAGCCCAGCCCAGCCCAGCCCAGCCCAGCCCAGCCCAGCCCAGCCCAGCCCAGCCCAGCCCAGCCCAGCCCAGCCCATGTAAACTCCCGCCTGAATGCCCTGCGGCCTGCTGCCTGTCTTGTCAAACACACCTCCCCCCTTCCCGGGCAGACGGATGTCGCCAAGTTTGTACTTGCTTGCAGTTTGCGCACTTCAGTAGTACCCTTCGCCCATTCCTCTTCCTTGCACATGTACACCTCCCCGCCTCCACGTACACACCCCCCTGCCCCGGCCAGGCCGCGGCGCCCCTGTGCGCCTCCCTCAACTCCGACCGCACCCTGGCCACCTTGCTCAGCCTCTTCCTGCCCCAGCTTACGTTGGATGCGCAGGTGAGGGGCTGCGAGGGGGCTGCGAGGGAAACCATAAATGCAAGCGGAAGCCAAAGATGAACTGCCGGAAGGCGTCCAAAGCGCAAAACTGGCCCCCGTGAGTCCTCAGCGACCAAGTCGTCGCCCCCCCGTTCGTGGTTCCGGAAGTAAACCCCGTTCCGTCACCGACACTTTATGTGTTATAGTGGTCGTGTCTGGCCTCGTAAGATTGTCGTTGAGGCCCTACTGCGAGCCGTTTACACCCTGTACTGAATTCAAAGGATTAGCTGTATAGGTACTGAGAGCCATTAGTGAGAGGGTGCATTAAAGGGCGGTAGTAAGGGGGTCAAACAGCAAGTTGTGCGAGTTGCGCCCGGTTTCCAAAGTTGAGGAAACAACGTAAAGCGTTGATGGTACAGAAAGCTGCAGGCTTACTGTTGGGGGGTTTGGGGGGGAGACTGCCGGATGGTGCGGTGGGAATACGCACATGCCTCAAAGGAGGGCAGAAGGACGGGTATTCGCGCTTGCTGCGAAGGCACGGGCGCGACTGGATGGATGTTACCGTACCGTAACGCACCGTACCACCCATGTTGCAGGCCATCAAATTGCAGTACAACGCTGGCGGCGGCGGCTGCTTCCCGATGCACTACGACAGCGACGAGCTGCTGGACGGCCGCCGTGTCACCGCCATCTTCTACCTCAACCCCGGGTGCGTACGGCAATTGTACGACACGACAAACTTCCTCCAGCACCAGGAAAGCACGACTGTATTCCCCAAACCCCCCAACCCCTTCACCGTGCATCCGATCCTCCTACCTACCCCGTATCTTACGCCGTTATATGCACCCTCGGGCCCCTTATCCAAGTCAATTGTCAATTCCAAATCAGTCGTCAATGTGCCTAACCTCCTCACCTTGGGCTGATCCTTCCCATCTTAGTGCTTTGGTGCGTATGAACCCCTTCACTTTCCCCCCCTTTCCCGTAAGACGCACCATCACAGGGTTCCACCCAGACCCCACCCGCTGTGCAACCACCATTACTTCCGGGCAAATAATTTACCATTCCCGAGTTTCCTGCCGGGGTTTGCGAACGGTTCTACCTTTCCCCTCCTTCCCCCTAATCCCGGCCCCCTCCCCCTCAGGTGGACTGAGTCCCACGGCGGGCAGCTGCGGCTGTACCCCTTCCCCCGCGCCCCCCTGGACCTGGAGCCCCTAGAGGACCGCCTGGTGCTGTTCGCCTCCACCCGCATGCTACACAGGGTGCTGCCCTCCACTGCCGCCTCCAGGTGCTGCTTCACCATCTGGATGTCGCAGAGCCGAAAGTGAGTGGTGTATTTGTTTGTTTGTTTGTTTGTTGCCCAGCCTGTCCATGCGGCTCTGTGCGGTTCCGAATGTCGTCCACCGTGACAGCGGCTGGTACGTCGGTATGTCGGTATGTACTCCGTTATACCTGGTGGCTCTGGTACTCAGCCTTCGTGACAACGACCGCTCAAACACCGCCAATAGCTTGGGCCCAAGCTGCGTCATTTCTCCTGGCGAGGTGTGGGGGCGGCCCCGTGTTACGGCGTTACGGTTTGCATCGCAGGCGGTCCTTCGTACGTCACACGCCCTCGCTGTCTTCCCTAGAGCCCCCCGGATCTCCCTCTGACGACCCGGCAGCGGCGGCGCGCTTCCTGATGCACCCCAGCGTACGGCAACACGTATGCAAGCTCGTGTACGCGTCGGAATGGTAGGGACACGGGCAGGGCGACCACCCGTCACCCAGGTCTCCACCACCGTCACCAGCACCAGCAGCATCACCACCAGCAGCACCGTCACCGGCACCATTAGCACCGCCGCCGTTACCTCCACCGCGCACCACTTGCTGCCTTTTCATCGCAAACCGCAACTTTGCACCTTTCGATTGCCCTCGGAAGCCGCCGTAGCTGTTCATCTAGCGAGCCAGCCTGACAGGCAGACATACAGACACAACGAGCACACATTCCAGTGCTTTCCCGTGCGGCGGTACGCGCAATGCCGCTCAGTACTTTCTTCCGCCCACGTCCCCACTCACCCGTGACATCCCCCCGATGCCATGACGGGTATCCTAACCGCGTTCATGGTGGTCGTACCGTACGACAAAAGGGCCAGATCGCTAGAGGAGAGCCATATGGTTTCGGAGGCTCGGGAGGCCATGTTGGAGCAGCACCATCGGGAAGTGGGTAGGGGTGCGTTGGGGACTTTTGGTGGGTTGGATTCGGAAGTTGGTGGTACTCTTCACCGCCGCTTCTCTCCCTCCCTGCCTCCCTCCCTCCCTCCCTCCCCCTCCCTCTCTGTCTCTCTGTGCCTCTGTCTCTGCTTCCGCCCGGTGTGCCGCCGGAGCACAGGCACCGCTGACCTAACATTGGTTTGCATTATGTTCTACCCGTAGAACATCGAAAATGGTGGGATGTATTAAGTTATTCAAGCAGCAGTACAGTTACGGACAGAAGTAGCAGCATCAACCATCATAGCACAACAGCGGTAATGACCGTTAAGCCGGCTCATGAAGCGCTCCGCACTGGATAACTGCCCGTGTGAGCGCAGGTGGCCATCATTCGGCGGTCACTGGGGAAGTACCTGCCGGTGGTGGAGCAGCTTGCGCGGGGCGAGCTGAGCGCCAACATGGAGTGGTTCTGAGTCACTTGGCGCGGGGTGGATATGGATTTGGAGGATATGCAAGGCCGGGAGGATTTGAAAGAAGACTTCAGCAGGGGGCGCGAACCAGAGGAATCAGATAAGGGCGATGATGCTTAACAATACAAAAAGGTGAAGCTTCTTCGTCGTGATCTGTTGGCTGCTATCCTAGATAAGATTATCTAAGGGAACTTGGGGTTGGGGTTTCACATGGGCTGTCGGAGTACCTGAAAAACAGGGTGCTGCATACAGCACAAATACAATACCCAAGAACCTGGACACCAGGAAGTCACCATGCTGGGGAAAGTTGCCGGGCTCGGGTGGTGGCATAGGCCTCCACGCGGTTCGCGGGACGCGAGATTGGTCGGCGAGGTTCGGTAGGATGGTCCCGGTACGACGAAATGGTGCAGAGCCGTGAACGATTTGGTATTAACGGGACTGTGCTAAGCTGATTTCTCTGGATACGATGTGGACGAGGATCCTGTGCATACATTTCGGCTTAGACAATCCGTCGCAAGTTTAAGGACGCGGCGTTAGAGAGCTTATGCCCAACATCCGGGGCTCTTAGTTGTTAGTCGCCTTGCGTCCGATCTGAAAAGGTTTACAAAATAACAATTGCACAAAAGCTTTCAATATGACTCGTTCTTGCTCCAGAATCCTGCGAGTGTCCGGTCTCATCGGCTCGCTGCAACGTGGCGGAGCATGTGTAGAGGTAGGATTTAGGAGCTGGTACAGTGGGGATCAATCCATCTGTTACGGCTTGCTTCTATGCGGCATCGGCTTTCCATGCGCTCCGTTACCGCTTTCATGGGCACCTTGCGCGCATGCAGGGAGCTGCACTGGCGCTGCCGCAGTGCGCAACCATTTACACATCGGCTGCACTCCCCTATGCTGGCGTCGCGAGGGGCACCGGCGTCGCGTCAACGTCCGGTAACGTTTCTACCCACCGCCTTGCTTTATGGCCCTGGCACTGTGCCATGGGGCAGAAGCGCGGAATGTTTATCCAAACGCAGCCGACGCCAAACCCCAACAGCCTCATGTTCGTCCCGGGCAAGCCTGTGATGGAGGTAGGATCCTGGCGTCCCGGCGGGTTTCGGCTCTGATTACGGCGGCATAGCCCACCTTCTCAACCCGACCTCTCAGCCTACCTACCTACTCCCACATCGCAACACTATTATATCTGATCTCATTCTCACGCAGAGCGGCACACTGGAGTTTTCCTCGGCGAGGGAGGGAATGAAATCGCCGTTGGCAAAGAAGCTCTTCGCCATTGACGGCATCACGTCCGTGTTCTTTGGCTCCGACTTTGTGACGGTCACCAAGCGCGACGACTTCACGTGGCCAGTGCTCAAGCCTGACATCTTTGCGGCCATCATGGATTTCTATTCGTCTGGGGAGCCGCTGGTGTCCGATGCGGCAGCGCTTGCCAGCTCCGATACCGCTATCCACCCCGATGACAGCGAGGTGTGAAACGCTGTGACGTGTAGAGAGAGAGAGAAAGAGCGGAAGCAGAAATGCAGGGGCCCCAGCTCGGTGGGGAAGTCTTCATAGCTCTGAAACAGCTGTAAACGGCTTGGGTACACGTAGGAAATGGGACAGGGCTGTAGGCTTCAAGGTGGCGATATGCCGAATAAATGGCACTTAACTGCATGTGGGTTTGCACCCTCCCCCCTGGTACCGGTTCCTCCCTCTAATCTCCAACCCTGTTGTCCCTAATTTGTTTCGTGGACCCGCTCTAACCCGGCAGGTGGTGGCCATGATCAAGGAGCTGCTAGAGACCCGCATCCGGCCAGCAGTACAGGAAGACGGCGGCGACATAGTGTACAAGGGATTTGAGGAGGACACGGGCATGGTCATGGTCAAGCTGGTGGTAGGTTTGGGTGGACGCTGCGGCCATACAGCTGGTCCGTACCGGTGCAGGTACTGCCAACCCGTGCGATTGAGGCAACAAATTAATTATGTTGGCAGCAACCCAGTGCATTGCATGCATGGTGCGTCATGTATAGTGTGTAGGCGGGCCGGCGTTGCTTCTTAAGCTGCTGTTCACAGTGTGTTCTGCGGCCGGTAGAGTTCCAGTCCAGTTTTCTAGAAGGTCCCAAAAGAGGAAGATTTCATGACTGCACGTTCTTGGGTTTGGCGCTTCTGTTTCGGAGCGCGTTCTAGATTGGGTACATGTGCCTGTGTGGGTGTCCTTGACCCGCAGGGCGCCTGCAGCACCTGCCCTTCCTCTACCGTTACGCTGAAGAATGGCATCGAGAACATGCTCATGCACTACATTCCTGAAGTCAAGGGAGTCATGGAGGTGAGCCCCTGATCCGTATACAATTGAAGTCAGTTTAGGATGCATTCTGCAGCAGTAGATGAACGGACGTCTTAGGGTTTAACCGTGGCTGTGCTGAAAGGCCGTTCGAAAAGTGGGTGTCCTCTGCACTGCATGCAGGCGGCACCAGACGAGTCGGAGGAGGAGGGTCTGAAGGCGTTTTCAAAGTTTGAAAAAAGCATAGGTGTAAGTAGCTTGCAATCCAACCATATGCGCTGCTTTGTTATGAAGGTCGGACTGACATGATGCTGTTGCTTGCCCGGTGACAGGCGGGGTCTGACGATGAGGCGGCGGCAAAACCCAAGGCCGAAAAGGAAAATCCATTGACGGCTCACCTATCCACGTAGTCCAGCTGGGATGGTACCATAGGGGTTGGTGCATGACCGAAATTTGTACATGAGTGAAGCTTGTAACCAGCGCCAATCCCAACTTTTCGTAATCTGTGGCGATTGACGCATGCGTAATTGCCAGTTCGAATGCGTATCTACGATGTCATTATTCTCATCGCCAGGGGTATCAACGGCTGACGCCCGCAGTCATTTCCAAACACAGCAGCTGACAACTTCATGCGCGCTGTTTGCAAAAACGCTTGGAAAAGATAAGGATATAGTTTTTCAAGCACGTTACAGCAGCTGGGGGCGACAACCGCTGCCTGCTCCTGCAGCGCCTCTCTTACGAGCGAGGCTTCTCCTTCTTGCCCTTGAACAGAGCCAGCAGCGACACACCCGACACCTTGACGACCTGCGGACGGCAGCACGGAATGAGTCGCATACGCAGGACAAACGATCGGTATGCTGGAAAAATGTTACCCGACCCGCATGCCAGGCACCACATGCCCTACGAGGTTCAAGTATGTGTTTCAGCTCCAGGCCCATGTCCACTGGTTCATGAAAACTCCAAGAATGAAGCTAAAAAATATCCCGAGCACTGCAGGCCTGGCCTTCCTCGAACACTTCCGCCAAATCATTGAAACGACCCATATCTGGATACAGAATAAACACCATTGCCCCGCAAAGCCAATCAATCATATCGTCCAGGCAACAGCCTCCCACACTCTTGACCACGTAATCACTGATAGCAACGGCACAACCTTCCTTAGAAGGACGCGAGATGCTATACATACTGGTCCAGGTTGCACGACAGAGCCCATGCCAAGTCGACATTACTGCCACAACCCGAACCCTAAGGCCACACCACACCCCAACGCCCAAACGTACAAGGTGCTGGGCCCGCCATGATAGGGGATGCGAGAACAAACCCCGTACACCTGTACCCACCTTGAAGCGCACACCGGGAATATCACCGACGGCGTGACCACGGCGACCAAACCCAGCGATAAGAACCTCATCCTGCGTGATGAATTGCACAGATAGCAGAGTTATGCATCATGAGCGACAGGACCAGAGGTGGGGCGTGCCAGCAGGGACCAGGTAAAGCAGGGAACCCCGTAGGAATGATGGTCATAAAGTTAGTTAAACTTGCAGGTATCTTTGCCTCAACATCAAGGCATCACCTGACACTTGAAAGGGGGTCCCAAAAGCAAGCCATCGCGAGCCCCCACCCGCTTCGAACTATCCCGCTCAATGACTCAAAAATAACCTCAACATGCGTATTCCAATATGCAATTCTTTTATCAATCAGCAGGGGGCACCTGTTTCGCTGCCTTCTTCGCAAAAGAACCATTAAGATAGGGGCCGCAGTATGTATCCACAGCTAAATCGTAGTCCAAATTGAGCTAAAGGGTGCTAAATCACCAGACATTACGCCATGGGTCAACCGCTGCGCATGGTGCACGCCGCCGGCCGCCACCTACGTTCTCCTCAATGAAGTTCAAGCAACCATCCATGGGAACGAAAGCTGCAATCTTCTTGCCGTTCTTGATCAGCTGCACACGAGCGCACTTCCGAATGGCGGAGTTCGGCTGCTTAGCCTCAATGCCGCTGCGAGGGGCAGCACACATCACCGTCAAGATAATCTATGAAAAATAAATGATCAGGCAGATGTGTTCTACCTACATCTTCTCAAGTACAATACCCTTGGCGTGCGAGGCGCCGGCGAAGGGCTTCTTCCACTCCGAGCCCAGATGGCTCTTGTTGTAGTCCTTGTCCGCCCAGCGCTCCTCACGGCGGTGCACCCTGAGCTTACGCCCAGCTCCCATACCACGGGTCTTACTGCACGAAACATTTCGGCACCGAAGTCGGTAAAGGATTTCGTGGAGACCTGCTTTGGCATTTAAGATATTCTCACCCCATTTTGGCGCTGGGTTTACAGGACTGCTAAGGTACTGGTGAAAGAGAGAACCGTTTGACTAGCGCTCAATTTTCTCCACCTTGAGGTTGTACGGACAGGGGTACGGCGCGAGTTGCGGCGAAAGACCAAAACTTACACAAACATTCCCGTAAATACTAAACTTCATTGAAAGTATAGCATGGAAGCTACATACGCGCTACCCGTCCGTCATCCGTCTTCCGACTTGCCAAACACATGCTTCAAGTGCTCTACGGACAAGGTTGTCTTATCGGTAACAGCAAAGCCATGCTTAAGACTCCTTAAACGCGAATCTGCTCAGCGCATTGTTGCAAAAACTGCATCTTTAGCTGCAGTTTCGGCGTTAACTACCCTCCCGCCACTTACACTACAATGCCTACAATACAGGAATACGCGGCACACAGAGAGCACCCTATACACTAGCAGGATGCACGTCTGTCAAAGTGCTTCCAAAGTTTATTGGTCCGGTGCTGCCGCTTCTGCAGCAGCGGGCGCTCCCTCCTGCGCCGGCCCAGCCCCTGCACCCTCCGCGGGTGCAGCCTCGCGCTCGCCTGCCGCCTGCTGTTGTTGGCGCGCACGTTCGTCCGCGGCAATCACCTCCTGTCCCGCTGCGAAGGCTGCAGCGTCCTCGGGGTTGAAGTTCCAAGCCGGCAGCAATGAGGTGATGAAACCCACCACAAAGACCAGAATCTCGTACAGAAAACCCCTGACATTGGGATGGGGATTTGGTGCAGCAAGAAATAAGCTTTGCTTCATACATGCCCAACAACGTGGCGCGCGTCGATCGCCGCAAAGGCTGCCACAACAACACGCATCTGTCCGTTCGCGGGAGGGAAGCGCGAGTCTAAGCCAGGTTGCACGGCATGACTGATAGATGCGCTTGCTAGAAGCCGATCATCTTCACTTTAAACTTCTGGCCAAGATGCTTCCAACGTTCTGCACAAGTTGCAGTCTTGCCGTGCAGTCAACGTCACCTTCCAAACCATTGCAAGCCACACAGGCAACGGCCACCCCCAGGACGATACAGTCACCCATCGGCGACCTACAGTACCTCCGCAGAAGCGCTTCCAGAGTGGCTACCTTCCCATATACTCCTGCCCTCCCTTCCCTCACCCCAGCCCCCTACCTGCCTTCTGCGCTATGGACCCACTGCACTCGCCTACCTTCGCTGGACTTGCTGTTGTTGCTGCTCAGCTGGCTGCTGCGCCCCACCGTTGCCTGGCCCTGCGGGCCCTCCCGCTGCTCCTGCAGCGCCAGCTGCCGCAGCAGCAGCTGCCGGCGGGCCTGCTGCGGGCCCGCCACCACGCCCCGGTGGCACCGCGGGTCGTTGCGGAACCTCATGGATACCACGCATCAGCCGTCGGAAGGGCGCCCAGGTGGACGTGATGAGCAGCACCGCCCCGCCAATCAGCAGCGCCAGGAAGCGGCGCCACGTGAAGTGCTGCAGTGGGAGGAGGTCCATGAACCGATGCGTTATAGACAGTCGGGGAACAATAGAAGGGGAAGGGGGCTCAGGCCGCGTGGCGCGAGGAGGAAAACACAGGTTGGGCGGCTCGACAGGGATCTGAGGATCGCGAGGCCCTGCGAGAAGGGCCCCTTGTACCTCACTAAACTCGGATGCCACATGCGCGCGGAGCGGTTAATGCACAGCTTGGCCCACTGAACCCTGTACACTCGGCCACGTGCGACGCAAGTACCTGGTAGAGCACAATTGCAAAAACCAGCGCCTGCAGCAGCGCCCGGGCGCTGACGCGGATCGTGAACACACGTGGCCGCCGCGGTGCTCCAGCTCGATTGCGCGCAGCCGCTTCTGCCGCTGGCTGCTCGTTGCCGGGCATGACTCCCAACGGGACCAGGCGGGCACGTCGCACCCTGAGCCCTGCGTCGGCATGATGCCCACGTGTTCCGATGGCTTGTCAGGACACGCAGCAAAGCAAAAGGACACTTCGAAGGACACGGCGCAAGACTGTCAAGAGAACGAGGGCCTCCAAGGGCAAAGACGACGTTCCTTTTGTTCAGCCGCTAATGCATGAAGCCCTTGTGTGTGGAAGCAAACCGTATACTAACGATAAACCTTTGAAAAGGAATCTTGGGCCTACTGTGATGCCTACAGTGATGCTCAGACTAGGTCCCATCTAATGCCTATCTCTTAAAAATAAAAACAGCATGCTATTTTTGCAATCAGTCCTTTTACCTGGAAAGTAAAGCGAGCTGTCCCAAGTCAAGACCCCCATATTAATGGCTCGCCCTAGCCGTGAGCGATGCGTGAGTGTCCTGTGCCTGTACTCATCCACACATACATTCCCACTGACAGAACTGCCTCCCGCCCATTCCCACGCACCCCTATGGCGCCTCCAGTTCCGACGCCACCCACGATGGACACATGCGATGCAGGCGCTCACACGGCGCAACATCTCATGCTGCTATGCACTTACCGTCCCGAGCCGCTCCCCCTCCCGCTCCGCCCTGCGCATGGCTCATCCCAGCCTCCTGGCCTCGGCCGCCCGGCCTCCGGCCGCCCGCAGCTGCTGCGCGTCCCTCCAAGGCGTCCAGGAAGGCGGTCAAGTGTAACAAGTCCCCACCCTCGATTTCTGCTCCAAATCCCATACCACCTGCGGCGTGGTGCCACTGCTGGCCCAGCGGCATCGGCGGCCACATCGAACTAGCATGCGCCTGCTGGCCATTTCGCCGCGAGTTTGCGCTGACCTGCTGTGGCATGTTATAAAAGCCGCCGGGTACACCGAAGGGGTATCCCACCTGCAGAAGGTTGAGTGGATGGATGGCCTCATTCATTCGGCTACCGGGCAGCCCGTTGTCATTCTTACACCAAGCAGCTGCTCAAAGATCACTTCCAGAGCCATCAGGATGAGAAAGCTTAAACTGTGTCCAGGCCTGGTCCCGCAGCGCAGGTTGAGCCCGATTCAAAGCTGCTACGTCTTGCGGTTCTTCTGGCAGGTATACAAGCCGACAACGGCGCTGCCCATTTTTTCCGCCTGTAGTGTTAACTTATAGGAAGAACATTATGCTGTGTGCTCACCTGACCGTATGCCGGAATGAAAACGGGCACGTAAGCATACTGCTGTGCAACCGGTACCGATGTCGTCGTGGTGGTCGCTGCCGCCGCCGTGCTTGCAGGTGGACTAAGTTCCGCTGCTGCTCCAGCGCCCGTGCTGCTAGCCGCTACGTCTCCCTGATCCTTCAGTGGCGCAGCCGCTGCGAGCTCCTTGGCCTGATGCCCAGGCTGCTCCTGCGGCAGTTGTTGCTGAGAGGCGACCGACAGAGCGGCCAGCGCCGCACTGTATGCAGCCTGGTAGGCGCCCCCAATAATGGGATTATAGTACATGTATGCGGACAAAGCTCCGGCAGGCATCGCAGCTGCTGCTGCGGCCGCGCCCTCCTGACCTGTGGGGTTGCCATCCGTGGCTGCTGTGCCTGGCACCGGGGCAAAAGGAGATCCGAAGGCTGCACCAAACAGGCCACCCGCTTCTGTGCCTGGAAAGGGAGCCCAGCTGTTAAAGAAGGAAGCCCCAGCGTCCAGGTCATCTGGGTCGCTCTGAGATGTAACACCGCTGGCTGCAAACGGTGGCTCTGCACTCGGGTGGCTGCTGGACGTATTCCCTTCAGTGCTCGGCCCTGCACCCGACGCCGAGCCGGAGCCGAATGCTGGCACTGTGCGCGTGGGTGGTGGAATCGGACGCGCAGTCCCGGTGCCCGCGTTCACGGTGGAGCCTGCTCTGGATGCTGGGGCCGCAGCCTTGCTGTCAACACTCCGGGCTGGGGAGGGACCAATTGTTGTTGGCTTCTGCTTTATGACTAGATGGATGCTGTGTGGTCCAACTGGAGCATCATGCTGCAGACATGGAAACGGGTTCGATGGAGCGCGGAAGGCAGCCAGATCCTCAGCAGCGTTGCCTTACCTTGCTGACTATGTCACGGAGGCGCACAGAGTTGTCTTTGAGCACCTTGCCTCCATAGATGAGCTGCGGTGAGCCATGAGAGCCGCGTTCAAGTCAGGATTAAGCTCGGCCAAAGTCGAGTCCACGCCACTCACAGTTTGATCCGCTGGCGCAGGCCGTCCTTCATATGTTTCACTCAACAGTTTTTGTAGATCAGCTATGGTACCATCCAACCGGAAGTTTATGCTAAAGTGTTGATTACTGCGAGACGGGTTCTTTATTACAAGCGTTGTGTCATTGGAATCCATTTTTCATTATCAGTGCACACATACGTGCATGCTTCTGTATTCATCAAGCACCGTATGCGCTGCGCGACGTGTCCGCAGCAGACGCGTGCTTGCCCGTACCTGTAAGAAAAATCAACTGTCATGATGGTTACGGATAGACAAGTTCGTTTCTGTTTTTATGCAACAGTGAAACACATTGTGTGCTCGTGTTTTCACGTGGCTTTGTTGCGGGAGTTTAGGTTCTGGAAAGTAGTCCGCGCCATTTTTCACCCTTCGCAACCTTTTCATCCTTCGACGTGCAAATGACGCCCATAGAACTAGACCTGCACTCCCAGCCAAAGGAGGAATATTTGGGTCCTTATGGCTCAACAAGGATTTACGAGAACAAGTTGGGAATAAGTATTTGCCAGTACTTCTGGCCAGTTGCACCCGACAAGGAGCCCAAGGGCATCCTGGTCTTGGCCCATGGCCACGGTTGTTATCTCCAGTTTGACTGGCTACGCCCTCAAGTAAGCAAGTCACAGGGGTGGAATTCCCGCGTTCCGTAACTGGATGCTCGGCCAAGGGCCCGGGGAAACAACACCAACTCGACAAATCAACTTGCGCAGGGCATTGGAAAGCCTTGCATATACCAGGGATCATTTGTGCAGCAGCTGAATGCAGCAGGTTATGCCGTCTGTGGTAATGACAACCGAGGCGCTGGACGGTCCAGTGGATTGCGGTGCTACTGCGACTCCTTCAATGACTATGTCACGGACCTACTGGATGTAGCTAGGTGAGCTTCCTTGTCAAATCCTCCGTATACCCGCCGTAGTAAACCACCGTACCTTTTACAGTGCTGTACCTTGTGGCCTAGCAGTTTTCGTGCATGGCTCGCGTCCTTATTGAGTACTCGGTAGCCGGTTCTGCCGTGTCAATAGCTGCCGTTGCCACGCCAGCCCCAGGACAGAGGCAGAGGCCGCACACTACACACTACTCTCTCTCTCTCTCTCTCTCTCTCTCTCTCTCTGTGTGTGTGTGTGTGTGTGTGTGTGTGTGTGTGTGTGTGCACATACGCGCATGCATCACAGCGGCGCGACCGCTAGGTACTGACGTGGCCGTGCAACGCCCCCCATGCTTCCCTCCTCCAGGTCCTGCACCTTGTTAGGTATCAGCAGCTTCCACGACGGACTTCCCAAGTTCGTGTGCGGCATGTCCAAGGGCGGCGCCGTGGCGCTAACGGCTGCACTCAAGGAGGTGAGCTCCACAAGGTGGTACGGCATACGGGTAGGGCTCAGATCCCCAGAAGGGAGACAGTACACAAGCACACGACCCAAATGACAACAAACAACGGTCCATGATTTCAAGAGAGGACGGCACCAGGAGCTCTGCTTCGGGACGACTTTTAACTGAGCACGGTTGGGACTGGGTATATCGTTTTTTGGGTGTTGGGGTGTTGTTGTTGCTGTTACTGTTGTCGCGGTGATGATGATTTTGTATATATGTCGATGTGGGTCACATCGGTCAATCGAGGCCGTGACGGTGTGCGACAGTCAGCGCCACGTCGACCCTCGCTCGTTCGCCCTCCTGATTGCATCTCTTACCCAACCTCCCCTCGAGTGCCGCCCTTAAGCTGCCTTTTAGTTGCTGCAGCTCTACCTGCAGCTGCTACCTCACCACACGCACACATCCATCCATCCACACACCCACACACCCACGCAGCCGAATCTGTTCTCCGGCGTCATCTGCCTGGCGCCCATGGTCTCCCTGGAGAAGGTCGCCAGGAGGGGCCTAAACCCCTATCTGAGGTGGGTGGGGAGGGGGTGGGGAGGGGGTGGGGAGGGGGAGGGGGCCATGCAAGGGAGCTGCTGCCGGTGAGGGAAGCGCCTGCACTCCCCCAGTCCCTCCCAGGTCCTCCGGGCCAACCAGCCGTAACATGCAACCCCGAGGAGGAGGAAGAAGAAGAGGAGGAGGAGCAGTGAGGCGGCCCTGCGTGCGGCTAGCTTAAGCCGCACAAGCCTCCTTCGCCGCCCCAGCCACCCACACCCTCACCTGTCCCAATTCCTCCCCTTCCTCCAGCCGTCCATCTTCCCCAAGTTGATGCTCTGGACCTCGCGTCGGTCGCACATCGTGTTCCCCTGGTTGGTTTGCGGTATGCATGCAACCCCCACTCGCTCCCCCACCCGCGGTACCCCACAGGCCCCTGGGGAGCTTGCTGAGCTTGCTCATCCCCCAGATGCCGCTCCTCACCACCCATCGCAACACCGTGTTTCCCGACCTGCAGGAGGCGTACGACATGGGTAAGTAGGTCTGTGTGTGCGTGTGTGTGTTTCATGTTCTGTCGCAAGGGGTGAGAGGGGGGGCCCTGATTGCTGCGGTGATGGCTGCGGTGATGCGACCTATACCCTGGCGGGCTGGGAGTTGTGTAACCTGCCCGCTGACTGAGCGCGTGCTCGGAGCGGGTAGGGTAGGGGTCCAGGATCTGAAGCGAGCTACACTTCAGCACCACTCTCCTCCACACCGCTTAGGACTCAACAGCTGTTGTTGCTCTTTGTTGAGCTTTTACATCATCATCACCACCGTCACCACCATCACTACCAATATCAACATCATATAACTCCCATCCGGGTGCCCGCAGAGGATCTGGGTGTACGACAGCAGTCCATCACCGCGTTTCCCTTTCCCTTACCTTTCATTGCCTGGGTGATACTTACCGTTGCGATACGTTCGTTTTTTGTTTTGTTTGTTGTCATGTGGGTTTTTGGTGGTGATGGTCTCATCGAACTTGCAGATTCCAACTGCTATCATGAAAAGACGCGAGTGCGGAATGCGCAGGTGAGGTCGGGCCGACTGGGAGTGTGGTGGGACAGGGGGTCCCCAAGGGTTTTGGAGGGGGCCCGACTGGGGGTGGTCTTGGGGGAAGAAAAAAGGGGAAAGGAAGGAGGCGCAGGCTAGGGCATGGCCCGCTGCACGCCGACTGACTGGGGGCCCCACTGGGGAAAGCCCATGCGGACCTCCCGGGACAGAACATGGGCGCTGTGGCGCTGTTGGACGGTACCTGTGACATGACATAGCCAATGGTTGTAGTGTACAACCACGGAGGTTGTAGCAGGAGAGAGCGTGTTGCAGAGGGGCTGGCTCGTCCCTGTTCCAACCGTAGCGGTGTCAGGCGGCCGGTATTTCATGGGCGAGTGGGGGCGGCAGCAGTAGCTGATGGAGAACTCATGCCAGCGGGTTGCGTCTTGCCCATTCACCCCCAACCCACCCCATCCCCACCCCAACCCGCAGCAGTTGGGGTGGGGATGGGGCGGGGATTAAACCACCAATCCGCACGTTTAGTACCTGTGTTGCATGTCCGCGTTCGCCCGTCTTTTCTCTCCACCCCAAGTTCTCTTCCCCCGGCGGACGACCTCCTCCTGCTCCTCCTGCTCCTCTTCTTGCACCTTCAGGAGTACCTGAAGGCCGCTGAGCGGCTTGTGGCAAACCAGTCCAAGCTGAAGCTGCCGCTGCTGCTCTTCCACTCAGAAGGAGACACACAAACCGATCCCGAGGGCACCAAGCGGCTGTGGGAGGAGGCGGAGGTAGGTGGCGTGGGGAAGAGGGAAGTACCTGCATGCATGCATGTATGCGATATGGGCCGAAATAGCTACTACTGACATCGCGCCGACAGAGCGCCAACTGCCGGTGGCACCGGGGGGGCCCCCGTTGGGGTCGCTGCAGAGAACACTATGCGAGTGAGTGGCGCGGGGTGTGCCCATGTCGGGGGCCGCGGAGGTGTGGCAGCAGGGGGGAGGATAGCAGGAGGGATGGCTGGTGGCATGGATGGCATGATGATGACGTGACGTGACATGGCTTAACCTGGCCTTTTCCTTTCCTTGCCTTCATGGTACGACCTAAATCGATGTACATGTACCTGTACATCATATGGTTCTTAGATTTTTACCTGCCTCCCATCCCCGTTGTTTTCGGAAGGTTTTTTCTTTTCGTCAATCGTCTGTGCTTCTTCGTCGTAACCCCATTTCCGCACCGCGCCCCCCAGAGCTCCGACAAGACGTTGATAAATCCGCCCAACATGTGGCACATCCTGATGAAGGAGCCGGGGCATGAGCTGGTGAAGCAGCAGATACTGGAGTGGCTGGATAAGCACACGGCGCCACCACCGGGGATGGGGCCGGACACGTAAAACACACGGCGCGGCACGGCTGTAAAACACACAGTGCCGGGCAACGGCAAGGCGTAATGGCGGAGGTGGCGGCAATGATCCTGACCGACGAAGGCTGCAACCCCAATGGGTCCCACCCGGCGATATGGAGCTGCCAAGCGGGGGCTGCGAGGGTGTTCAATGAGCGCGCAATGATAGTTAAGGGCCGTCGGTTAGGGGTTAAGTTATAATCGGCCAAGTTCTCCAACGCGAGTAAAGCGATTTAAGAGCCGTTAAAGGCACACGGGGGGCTGGGCGAAGGGTGGGAGGAGTGCGAAGAGCCGAATCTCGGGTCGTGAGTGTGGATGTGGTGCAGGGGGGCATTGCGTGCGGATGAGGTGGTGTGGGGCGATGTGGCGTTCAGTTCATGGATCTACGCGTGTATGGTGACGGTGGTGTGTATTTCCGTGTGCGTCTTGATGGGATGCTTGAATGCGTGCCCTGAGCAATAGTCAACGAGGCGACAAAAAAGAGCAGCGGCCGCAGCAGCAGCACCACCACCACACAACAGAAGGACAAAAGGGGGGAATTCAGTCTCATCAGAGAGATGTAATTGGGGAGATGCCGACAAAACTCTGGAGACTGGAAGCCAGGCCCCCCCTTTTTTCACGCACTCCAACACATGTCAGGCAAGCTAAAATAAGGCAATGCATGTATGTATATGCATATTGTATATGTGATTATTCGTGCGTCTGTATGTGTGTGTGTCTGTATGCTTCTGCTACACATTGACCCGGGCCTGACGCTAGCCAGGGGCACTTAACCGTAGTCCAACGGGAACGACCGCCGTCTGTATGTGTGTGTGCGCATCGTGCTAAGTGCGCATCTTAAATACTGCAGGCGGGGCTTCTTTGCGGTTGCAACTTGGGTTCGGTGGACACTCACTCCATGAGCGCGCGGTTTAGGCGGTACGTACACCATTGCGCATGTCTCACCAAGAGATCACGCGGAAGAGCTGTTTCCTGAAGTGTGAGGGGAGGCGGCAAAGGTTTTACGGCCGCAATACCGGCTCCCGCTTCCCTCTGTTCTTTTGGTGTCTCAGAAGCTGCAGCAAGTCAAGCTGCTGCGGGGATGATCACGGCTGATTTGCCTGTGATATGTTTCCCCCCGCGAGAAAGATTGGTTGCGTGGAGATCCTGTGAACAACTACTGGGGGTGTAACACGGCCTGCAGGACGCAACGTGATGATCTAGGTAATCGTGGGGGAGATGAGAGCGCTGTTTTAGTGTTTAGTTTTACATGGGAAACTGCTTCGCCGTTAGGAAGTATGGCGTGGAGGATGTATATAAGGCCGTTTAGGCGGCGTGGAGGGAGACACTGGTTCCTCTTAGCGAACGACGTTTGAGCAGCAGAGACGGCAGGTTCTTGTGAATTAAGGATCGTAGAAGTACTTGCTTGTTGTTGAAGGTAGGAAGATTGGCGACCTATCGCGTTGCACGGCGTTTTTTCCTACGACAGCTCGAGGATTGGTTTAATTAATACTCATGGTTAAGGACAGCCATGCACCTGTGCTTGTATGTTTGTATGCATGTATGTTTGTATCGTGTATGTTAGCAAACAAAGCAGCCGCCTTGAACACCAGTTATTACACTTCTGTAGGCATGTATGTTTGTGTGTGTCACGTGGTCGTGGGGTTGCGTATCCCGTGTACCTGCAACCCGCCCAATACGAGCCGAGGGCTCAAGGGCTGCCAGATCGCCTATAAGCACCATCCTACCTCGCACATGTATGTTTGTATCATGTATGTTGGCACGCGAACCAGATTGAGCACCTCCGCAATGGGACTTGCCTTGTTATTATGAGGAAGAACGTAGCTATAGCGCACGACAATGCTTCGGTGCGCCATAGGACTTCCGCACTACATCCGTTGTGAGCACGACGACGTTCATTTTGTGTTTGTTTTGTGTATCGTAGCGACGCAGTCCTGCCAAGACAAGGATGTCAGGAATGCTGTTCGGGGGACTGAAAAACCCAAATCCCCTGCCAGAGGCGGGAGACGGGTGAGACGACGTTTTGTTCTTTCCTGGTGCAGCGCCTATCTTGCCCCAGGTTGTCCCGAGGTGTGCGAATTGATTAGCGCTCCCAGTCGGTTTTTGATATGTGCTTTTGGGGAGGGGAGGAAGAAGTGCGTCATAAGTCGGTAAAACATGTCTTCCCGCCTCACGCATTTTTGTTTTTGATGCCGGTTTGGGAGGAAGGAAGTTATTGGCTTGCTGCGACTTTTGGCTTACCATTGTCAACCTCCCTAGCCGATGGCTTATTTGCGCAACCAATTTGCCTTGTGTCCTTCCTCCTCCCCTCTATCCATCCTTCTCCAGATTCTCCTGTGTTCTGAATAGCAGCGGGAGGACAAGAGTTTTGATGAGGCGACGGCTAAAAGCTGCAGAAGACTCTTTGTCACAACCTTGGAGGGGAAGATATGCTGTTATGCTTCTCTTTTGGCATGCTTCTCTTTTGGCCACGCCTTATGCATAAGACTTAAGTGCTGGCCTGCTGAGGAGTTTGGAGTCTGCTGAGGATTTTGTTTGTGCTGAGCGGCAACGCGAGCTAACGGTAGGCTCAGGCCCATGCAGGATCGATCGAAGTCCAGGATAGCAAATTATATCTTTCGTAAATCCGTGCGACGATTTTTTGGCACCGAGCGGCGACAAGCACAGTTTATTTGTTGCACAAGGTAGACGGCGCAGACTAATTTAGAGGGTTGGTGCCAAAAGGCCAACTTTGTACGGCGCCTACAGGGGCGTTGACGTCAGCACCACGACCAAGCGAGAGACGTCCCGAGCGAATCGAACACATACAGAATTGCATGATCCACATCTCTGAAACCTTCAAAACCAAATCCATGTCAACTCTCTTGATCTTCATTTCGTTCTGTTGAGCACCCTAGCAACCAGCCTCTTCTAGCTCTGGACCGACTGCGACGTCATCGTCATGCAGTATTTAGCCGAAAAGGTGAGTACTGTTCATGGCTGTGGTTATGCTGCGGTCCCGATAATGACCTTTGGGGGCGCCAGAAGGAGGAGTCGCTTTGCTTATTGCTTCCGGAGTCCCTTTCTCTGCATCTTGGTCACGCTTTCTGCGGGGCGCGCGTGCGCGCACGTAGCTGTGGCGTTCTCATGTTATAACAAGGACTCGTCGCTTTGAACACGGGTGCTGATGCTTCGGCGCATCAAAAGTGCGATTCCAGCTATTGGCGTGCTGCGGGGAAATCCTTCAGGTCTTTTTCAAGGGAAGGACAGGGCCCCCCCCCCAAAAAAATCTATTTTCTGTATTCGTCAAAGAGGCGCTCCTGCTAACTAGAAGCGCTCGGTTCCGACTGCTTCCGAGCCGCAAAAGTAACGAAATTTTCATCAGCAGTCATCATAATCTCGCTTGAATTCTTCCCGTCGCTCCGTGTCGCACGTCCAGCAATTTGGACTGTAGCGAGCCTTTCATGAGCAACCTAGTTCAGCGCCGGTATGGCGGGAACCCGTTTTTCTCTCGGTGTTACTGATGGAGGCGACTGGCCCACGGGTCGCTGACTCCAATTATGTTGTTTTAATAGCCGTGGCGCTGGCAATGCTTTACGTACACCTTTTTTACGTACACATTTTGCCTTGGACAAAATTGCAAATGTATTTATTTGATGCTCCAAAGGACAGTCCAAACCTAGTAAGGGTTTCTCTTTTTGCGAGATACCTTTGTCATTAAGGAACCGACATGGAATGTGGCTTATTCAGGATGGACTGTTAAATTATGCAAACCTATTATTATACAGATTGAAATCGGATGAAAATAATAATTCCGAATATCATTCTTGTGCTTGCCCGTTGCATCCGGCGATTACGGTCGCGATCCCTTTTTACGCTGCTTCTTGGTTCGGCAGACTCGTCAGGCCCTAGGCCTGGGGGACCGGGACTTCCGACCCACCTCCCTGGAAGCGGAGCACCGTGCCTTACAAGAGGCCAGCGTGTACGGCAACCATCTACACACTCTGGAACGTTCTCTGGCTAAATGGTCTGCCACCACGGACGGTAAGTAAACCACCCGTGACTATACACACGCACACACATATGCACACGCGCACACACGCACACACACAAGCACCCGCGCCCTGATCCTTGACTTAGGCGCCCCGGGACCTCGCAACCACTCACACCCGCACAGCATCATCAGCAACTGCAGCAACAGTTGCTCTCACCTCTTCCCCCACTCACCCAGAACTCCTCCGGGCCGCGGGTCGCTTCCTGACGGAGGGCCCCCGGCCCCGCCACTTCACCCAGTGGGACCCCTCCGACCCCACCACCCTCACCGCCTCGCCACCCGAGCTGCCGCCCGAGTTCGAGCGGCTCAACCAGCCCTCCATGCTCCGCCGGCTGGCCGCCGGCACCCCACTGGTGGTGGGTGACATGGTGCGGCTGGGGCTGGCGGACCCCATGGCGCTGTGGCTGGCGGCCCTGGATGCAGCCAAGGTGCGTGTGTGTTTGGGGGGTGGGGGTGGGGGGTTAGGAAGAGGGGAGGGGGGTGTATTTCAGAGGGGGGTGGTTGGGGAGGGAGGTGAGAGGGGCAGACGTGTCGGGCGGACTCGGGGCGGCGCGCTCAAGCTCAGGTCCGCATGGCCCTGCATGGCGCTGAGGAAGGAAAGGAGGAAGGACGGAAGGAAGGACGGAAAAAGGCGAAGGGCTGTATCTACTGAAAGGATTAGCTGTAGGTTCTTGGGGCACTGAAACAATGCACTAGTCGTGATATAAAGGTCAAGTCTGGAAGGAACTTTTAAAATGGAAGAGGCCCGGTGAACATAACGCTGGGGACGGGTGAGGCAGTGCTGATTTTCTGCCTCACATCCCCATCTCCTTTCTCCTTTGATATGACTTCGTACCATCTTTTATTCTGAAATGCTTTGGCTGGGTTGGGTGGTATATTGCGTGTTGTGTTGTGTGTGTGGCGGGGGATCGCAGGAGAGGCTGTCTCGTTTGGAGCACCTTCGTATTCGGTACGACGCCGCCCGCCGTGTACTGCACAGCGCCGCTCGGGCCCCGGGAGCGGATGAGCTGGGCGACCCCGCCCACCTTCACCTCATCCAGCTGGAGGCGGAGAATGAACGTGAGTACGACGATGGCGGGGGAAAAGGGCTTTTTCTTTGTGTATGTGTGTGTGTGTGGGGGGGGGGGAGTCAGCCCAGGGAAGGGCATCCCGGGCGGCGTGGAGGCCCTGCCTGGAGTCAATAGGCCTAAGTGCAAGTCTTAATGTACATATTTATTGATGTTGATTGTTGTACGCGGCCTCTCGTACATTCACATTCACATTCACATTCACACACAACACACGCGCAGCCGTTATGTCGGAATTCCGCGATGCGTACGAGGCTCTGGGCCGGCACCTGCAATGGCTGGTGGACGAAGCTGCCCGGCTCAAAGCGGCTGTGGTTTCGGAGCTTCAAGAGGTTAACTCCGCTGCCCTGAAGGGGGCTCTGTTGCCGCCCGAGGGGCTGCTGCTCGTCTTCCCCCGGGATCTGCTGGTACGGCAGGAGGGTACGGTGGGTGGGAGGGAGCGGTACGACAGATAACCCACGGGAATGCCCGGCGGTGGACGTGTTGTTGTTGTTGATGTTGTTACAGGGTGGTTAAGCTTCACCAGTGGCCTCCTTCCCGAGGCAATTCCCTGCTCTCCCCTGCTAGAGGGGCACCCTAAGCCATTCACCCCATCCGACTTCAGAGTGTACTCTTTGAGTTTGGCAACTCACCACCAGCATCCAACAAAATCTAGCGGATCAACGGCGCCTCAACTTAGTTCCTGGTCATCTCGCAAGTTGATTTTATCACGTCCTACACCGTCCACAAGATGGGGGGCCACCTCCCATTTCACCACCTCTCAAACACCCGAGAGGTCAGCAGGCGGATTTGAACCCGGGTCGACCGGGAGCAGAAGTTAGGCCTTAACCTCTGCCAGCCGCCTGCCTGTTGTTGTTGTTGTTGTTGTTGGTATTGGTAGTCATTGATTCCTTTTAAGTCCAGTCGGGGGGGCGGTGAGCTCTTGCAACCACTGGTTATCGCCCAGGTGATCGCCTAGGTCTTCAACTGAAGGCAGCTGCTGTGCAGTGCAGTGAAGTGAAGTGTTGTCGACGCCACCGATCGACTTGTTGAACATGAGATCCCTCGAGGGGCCTGAAAAAAGGGGGAGAGGGAGAGAGCCGCCTGCCGCCGCACGTGCAGCCTCATGGTGGTGCTCTCTCATGTGGTTGCGATGCGACTGGACCCGGTGCTGTCCCGGATGGTGTGGTGGCCCTATGCAGGAGCGGCCGGAGACGATTCGCGCCGCTGCCGCGGCGATCGCCGCTCACCCCGCGAGCCCCGCCGCCGCCGCCGCCATGACGGAGGCGGCCGTGGAAGCCGCCACCGCCGCTGCCATCGCGGCAAGCGGCCTGGATGTGCCGCCGCCGCAACTGGTGATGCTGGGGCCGGAAGCGCCCGGCGGTGTCGGCGCCGGTGGTGCTACCGACGTGGTGATGGTCGTACCGCCTGGTACGGCAGGTGTGGCTACGGATGCTGCCGTACAGGCGGCGGCGGCGGCGGGCATGGCGGCGGCGCAGGACTCCGCACTTTCGGCACCAAGGGAGCTGAAGCAGTACGAACGAATGGAGGAGGTAGGAGTGGGGGAGGGAGTCCTGTATACTAGTTGCATGTACTGCATACGGATTTATGTACGGCGCGACGATGTGTTGGCGAAAGGGCGGGAGGGCTGCGCGTTGTGATATCTTCTTTGTCGTACTTTTTGTTGTACCTAGGTGGCGGTGTTTTTGTGGGTGATGGTGGTGGTCTGGTGGAAAAGGAGGGGGGAAAGGAGGGAGGAAGCTTCTGTGGGGACTAGTACTAACGCAAAATTAAGGCGGCAATGGTGTCGGGACGGGATTGTACGGCGTCTAGCTGTTCAGTACGACCTGTTTTTCACTAGCGAATTCATCCGAGCAGACGGGCATGGACGCGTGATTGATGATTGCTGTGATGTCCGTGAACGCGACGTGGACGCGATTTTACTCTTCAGTTGCAACAAGTATTGTTGGCAGACGTGTATTAGCAAGAGGTTCAGAAGAAACGTAGTTTTGAAAATATTACATTTCACGAAAAAATGAAGAAGAAACGCCAGGTTTGAATCTTTGCCCCTCTGCCCCCCGCAAAACCTGCCAACACACACACACACACATACATGCATACACAGCGCCTGCTGCAGTCCTCCGCCACCGGCGGCCCCGCCGCCGCCCGACTGTACAAGTTGGCAACACGGCCTGACCGCCGGGCTGCCGTACAAAATGCATGGCAGGTGCTCGTACAGCGTGCCATGTACTCGGAGCGCCACAAGGTAGGGAAAGGCTGCGAGATCTGCCGCCGCGTGCGTGCGATTTGTCTGTCTGTCTGTGCGTCTGTGTGCCTTGTGCATGTGTGTAAAAACATGTCGTCGCTGTTGTGTCCTCTCTTCTTGGAGCTCCAGCTCTTCGCCGTTGACCGTTTGCATGTCGTTAGATCACTAACAACCTCCCCCTCAGCGCCATCACAATCTCCAGCGGCCCCCCCCCCGAACCCCGTGGTTCGTCTTTTCCCCCCGACCCTGGGCCCCCCCTGGCAGCAGCTTCAATCGTGTGTGGTTCGTCTTTCCCCCGGACCCCGACCCCCCCCTCCTCGCTTTCCCCTTCACCACTGCCACGCCGCAGACCCTAGCCGAGCACGCCGAGGAGCAGATGAGGGACGTCAAGGAGCGGGCCGGGATGACGGGGGGCTTCCTCATGAAGCCGGAGGCGGCGCCCGAATACATACTGGCAGGTAGATAGTACACGCCGTACAGTTGTTGTACGGCAAGCTGAAGTACATGTGCTGGATACCCCGCAGTATTGCACTATCGCCTTTGGAAACCCATCATCTCCTCGAAGCAAAGTTATTATCTGTGGTTGACACGGCATGTCTGTCTGTCTGTCTGTTTCCCCACCCCGGCACGATACACATCATACAGCCAGGGCAGCAGCCAGAAAATCCGTACATGCACTTAATCCTCCGCTTGCTTTGTCTGTTGGTATTTTCCTCTTCGTGACTCGCTAGGGAAGAGGATCGTCAGCGGGATGGCCAGGACCTATTTATTCGGTCGCGTTTGGTTGACTGCGCCAATGTGATTTGACTCGCTTGCAGGTCATTTCTACTGCCCCTCTCCCCGCCCTGCACCGCACGCATCGGCAGGTGGTTTTCTTTGTTTTATCTGCAGCCCGTATTCCCCCCTCCTCGTTCCCCCCGTCCCCCCTCCGGCAAGCAGGCAGGCGACGGCTGCCCGGGGGTGGCCCTTTGCAGTTCCTGAAGGACACGCTACTCGGCCCGCCGCAGGAACAGGAGGAGCGACAGCACCAGCAGCAACGCCGCGGGCGCCCCACATCGCCCTCGGTAGGAGCAACCAGCGGCGTAGGAGGCAGCGGCGGTAGGACAGTACCACCCGCCTCCTCACCGTCCGCCGCCGCCGCCGCTAGGGAGCAGAGGGAGGAGGTGGCGGCGGGAGGGGCGGGAGGTGGCGGCGTTGGGGCACCTGGCGGTGCGTTGACGCCTCCGACGGATACGGGCGTTGGGGGGGTTACGGCGGAGGCGATGACGGGCCCGCGGCGGGACGAGCAGCCGGCGGCGGTGGGTGCCGGCGGCGGTGGAGGTACTGGCGTCGCCGCCGCCGTCGTCGCGGAGCCTTTGACGCGGGGTACGGCGGGTGGGGTTCACGTGGCGGAGGGGTGTTTGGGGGGGAGGGAGGGAGGTGAGAAGGGAGGGTAGGTCGCAATGAAGCTTTCGTACGGCACTGGAGAGGGGAACGACATCCCTTCTTCGCGCTGTGGCGGGTAACGCCCCCGCCCCCGCCCCCGGCGCGCTCCACCGGTGGGGAAGTTGCTGTGCTGTACGAGCATACGAGCAAACACGCGGACGCGCTTGAAACCTAACCCGCTTTGTGGAGGCCAAAAGCCGCACCCACGTATGGACATATTGGTGTACGGCATCTGATAGCTGTATCGTACCAAGGGGTCCAACATCCTGTCGCGGGGGGCGCCCTTGAGGATGGCCGCCGCCGCTGACGCCGCCACTACAATCACTCACCTGTTTTACAATCACTCCCGGAGTATGGGCTGCAGCCCGCCTCCTAGGCCATACCAGGTACCCTCCAGGTATCCCCCCCGTGGACTGGACGCGGCTGCCCGGGGCAGGGTTTTCCCCACAACCCCCCGGTACCGCCGCCCCTACCTTCCCCACCGGGACATTGCGGCCTGACCTGACGGCACCGCTAACTGCATACGTACATACATACATGCAGGCCACTACGCGGCGCCGCCGTTGACAGGGGAGGCTGCCGCTGCACCTGCACGACTAGGTGCTGCTGCGGCCGCTGTCCCGCCTCGGGGCGGCGAGGGGCTGCCGGGTGACCTGGCGCCGCCCGTACCGCTGCCCACTGAGACCTATACCGGTGGGGGGTGGGGGGTGGGGGCGGGGGAGGGGGGTTGGGGGTGAGCCGTACGCGACTGCCCTGCTCGTCCATACTTAACAGGCCAAAAAAACAAAAATCATGGAAATATGCATGCTAGAGGAAAGGACATCTGATGTCACAATGCGCTCATTTGTGGGGTTACGTTGGCGCGCAAGCTCACAGAGTAGTGTAGGGGATTGTACTCCGGCGCTCTTTTTTTAGGTAGTTCTTTCGCGCTCACACAACAGCTGGTACGGTGGCAGGTTCCGGAGCTAGGAGATATTCCGGGGAGATGCCGGCGGCGGCGGCGTCGACCTCCACGACCGCATCTCACGCGGCCGAGCGCGCCGCAGTTGCCATGGTCGCAGCCGACACGGCAATGGACGTGTCGGCAGCGTCCATGGACGCCGCCACTGCATCCATGGAAGCCGCCGCCGCGGCCATCGCCGCCGCCGCCGCCGCTCAAGAGGCCGCCACCGACGCCGCCGTAGCGGCAATCGAGATGGAAACTGTCGAAGAAGCGGAGACGCCGTCAACACCGCCACGCCGCAGTGACGCCGGCAGTCGTGGCGGCGGCATGGCCGACTTCTCAAGGGAGTACGGCGGTCCATCACCGCCAACCGCTGAGCTTGCAACCGGCGGCGGCAGCAGCGGCGGCGGCAACACCGCACCCAGGATGTACGAGGAGCTCGTCGGCAAGGACCTGACGAGCTTCGGCCTGGCGGCCGAGGGCGCCGCTGCCGCCGCCGCCCCGCCGGAGTCCACCATTGCGGCCATGACGGCGCGCACTCCCCCCACTCGGCTACCGGAGGTGCCGGCTAAGGCGGGTCCGGAGGCGGTTTCGGAGCAACTAGGCGGCATGCACCTGGAAAGCTTTGGGCTGGAGCCAACGACGACTGTTGGGGCCCCTCCACCGGGTGGGGGCGAGGAGGAGGGGGAGAAGGCGGGAGCAATGGAGGCGGCGCCGGCGGCGGGCGGCGGCGGTGTCCAGGGTGTCTTCGGAGCTTTAAAGGCAATGGTGGAGGAAGCGGGCGCAGAAGGAGGGGTGCTCCGTGGTGGGGTAGCCGCTGAGCCGTCTGGGCCTGCTGTTGGTGGTGTTTGAGAAGGGGAGGACCTCCCTGGTTTTTGATGCCATTTCTGATTTCCTTGCATAGGATTCCCCGCGTCAAGTGGTTTGTGTCCCACTGCGCTGAGATGATTTGAGAGGTCCTACCGGGCAGTAGGGAAAAGGCCCAGATCAGGAGAAGTTCTGGCGCCCTAGGATGTGAGTGTGCGGCAGACAGGTGCTGTGCAATGAAAGAAGGGCAATATATATGACCGGGGCGACATCATAGACAGTTGCGATGCAAGGAAGTTGGTTTTCAGAGTTGGGGAAATTGTCGTTCGGGGCTACATCTCAAGGTGGTTGCACATGCACAGATGTTAGTACTATCCCACACAAGCCGGTGCTTATCCTTGCTTTCGAGGTTGGATTCTGGTTACTTCCTTGTTTGACGAAGTTGCGGTGTGCTGCTGCCAAATACTGTGAAACCTTTTGTTGCTCCTGTTTTGAGCAATCTGTAATAGGAGTCTCAGATGTCAGTCGTCGGAAAAACTAAGTGCAATAGCCAATGCGAAGAGGCTGCGAGAAAGTTGTCCTTGCAATCATACTGACAGCCCCGTTGTAACACACACACACATATGGAGTGGGGCACTTCGCGCGGATCTCAAATTTTGAATAAAAGCGAACGGGAAGATCCTATGTCATTGGTGGTGTTGAAAAACACCGGGCATTACGACAGAACTTGTGTCTTCTGGATGACTAAACGGCAGCCGAGCCATCCTCAGCCTTGCCCTTAGACTTCTTGGGCAGAAGAACCGCATGGATGTTAGGCAGGACACCGCCGGACGCAATTGTTACGTCACCCAGCAGCTTGCCCAGCTCCTCGTCGTTCCGAATTGCCAGCTGAATGTGACGAGGGACGATGCGGTTCTTTTTGTTGTCACGAGCAGCGTTGCCGGCCAGCTCCAGCACCTCAGCAGTTAGGTACTCCAGCACAGCGGCCAGGTACACAGGAGCGCCAGCACCAATGCGCTCCGCATATTTGCCCTTCTTCAGGTAGCGCGCAATGCGGCCAACTGGAAATTGCAGGCCCGCCTTCGCGCTCCGGCTGACGGCCTTCTTGCCAGCAGTCTTGCCCTTACCACGACCAGCCATGATATACAACCGATTTACAAATTATAGGAATTATATGTGAAACTACTTAACTGTAACCATCGCGCCACACATTTTTTTATGTGATTGACCTTTGTCTCAGCGGGGCAACTGCCGAAGGTACGAAGCCGTTGAAGCTGTTAGGCCGAGCAAGTGTCACCGAGCCAAACCGCAGTCTTTACGTTGTATTTACCCCTAGGCCACTGTTACCCTGATATAATTTTTAGCATAATTAACCTACTAGCCCATACAACCTACTTTCCGCTCCGAACAATAATACTTCACCACAATGGCCCCCAAAAAGGACGAGAAGACCGCATCTCAGCCGGCTGATGCCGAGCCCAAGGCTGAGGCCAAGCCCAAGGAGACCAAGGTGAAGAAAGAGAAGAAGGCGCCGGCCAAGAAAGCCGCGAAGGAGCCGGCTGCCGGTGGCGAGGAGGGCGACAAGAAGGCTAAGAAGAAGACCAAGGTTTCCAAGAGCGAAACCTACAAGCTGTATATTTACAAGGTGCTGAAGCAGGTTCACCCAGATACCGGCATCAGCTCCAAGGCTATGAGCATTATGAACAGCTTCATCAACGATATTTTCGAGAAGGTCGCCACGGAGGCCTCCCGCCTGAGCCGCTACAACAAGAAGCCCACCGTCACTTCTCGCGAAATTCAGACGGCCGTGCGCCTGGTGCTTCCTGGCGAGCTGGCCAAGCACGCGGTGTCGGAGGGCACCAAGGCCGTTACCAAGTTCACTTCTGCGTAAATGGGCCTGGGGACGCCCGGGACAGTCGCGACTCACTCTTTCCAAAACACGGTGTTTATCAACACCACCAGCTGATGGGTTTTATTCCTCGCTATTGGCCTTATCTACGTATGCTACCTGTACACAGCAGGCGCGAAATTGTTCGGCGTTTTGAGGGGGCGTGAGAGGGGGTGAAATACGGAGTTAGATGCCCGCGGTCTGCTAGGTGCTGTGGAATCTATACGGGCGGGGTACAGTACAGATAATTGTATGCCAGGCATAATGTGAGAAATGTTCCTCTGCCAGCATGCTGCCCTACGCATTTAGCCAACTTCTCATTCGAGAGATAAAAACGTTTCCTTTTTGTTTGGTTCGCGTGCGATGGTTGGAATTTCGACAGTATCGTTAAGCTTCATGCAAAGGTCTATGTGAAACCGAGGTTTCACACACATTCTACAACCCTGCTGGGTTAATCAATATCGACATGGTCAGGGAGATAGGAGGAGGGAACACCCCCACATAGGCCGCGCAATCGCCCTGCAGTCCACTTTCAATGGGCTGACGCCGTAAGACGCAAACGAACTTGAAAATATCTATTATTTGCAGCCTCCGTCCCCAGCCAACCGCTTTAGTTTCGCAACCGCACCGATATTGCCGACATTCACGCAGTTGGTCCGGACTAATTGCTGCTCCCACCTCCATGGAGAATAATTAATGAGGACGCATGACTGTCAATCTTGAACGGGTCGCGTCCCGCAGAACTATGTCGACGACCCGTCTGCGGCGGCTCCATGAAGCTCAGGGCGGCGGGAAGATCACCTCCGATCAGGCACTATGAAGCTAATATTAGCTATTTATACAGTGCTTTGATCGGAAGTGATCTTCTATGAGGCCAAAGGAGTCCCACCATGCATGCATAGTAGCCTTGCTTTTGTTGCTTTTCGGCCGACTCCCTTATATACGTATATGTCGCCGTGTCTTCTGACTAGTCGAAATGTTGCTGCTGAGGCAACTGCCTCCCGTTTACACCGCCGCACAGCTTATTATTAGACGGATATTACAGAAAGTAACGGTTCAGAGAACTCGCTCTGACAAACCGTTACTGGTGGGAAGCCACACAAGCAAGATTCGGCGGCGGTGGGCGCGAAATCCTCCGCAGCCGACATCGCCTGCAACAGACGTTCTGGACAGCTGTCCTATCTTCTCGCCATGCATATTCGGAGTCTTATGTGGTCATCACACTGCTGGGTCTATTCATGCATATGCTTCGATTGTGCCTTCGAGGATTCCCTGCACGATTACGAGACCGGCAGGTAACAGAACCTCGATCACTCCGACCTCTTGGCCGGTTCACACACTAGCTAGGGGATGGAAGACGGAGCTAGTAAGGTAGTTGTAGTTCTTCGGGAGCGCGTGGCACGCCTTGCGAATTCAATGTCGTCTGTTTGTTTCTCGACAGACTTGAAACTTCCGTATGTACAGCGGAGAAAGAGACGATTGCCGCTGCCGCCCGTTGTAATCGAGCAATGACGATGTTTGCGAACCTGAAGTGCGCACATCACCTTATGTATTTGCAGCTGTTGGTCATGGGGTGCTTGCTAGCTGCCATTGGTTGGATACGCAGTACACGAGAATGTAAATCTTCAGACGGACGTCAAGAATGAGGATCCTCGCAAAACTGTACCCATGTATCCTCGTTCCATTGGCTAATATTTAAGTAATGATTAAAAAGAAAATTATTATAAGGAAAAATAATGTATAGGAATTCAATAATGCTGTCACTTGCGGGCTTGGTTTTCCTCAAACCGGCCTTTGCACCGCTCGCGACATGCGGCTTTTTTATGTGCTTGCTGCAAGTGGCAACGGGGCATGGCAACTTACTGATGAATTGACCGATATGAGTGTACCTGCTCTGCCCTGCCTCCCGCCTCCCGCCTTCCCTTGCTACGTACTACTATTGGGCCCTCGCTCACTTCCTCTTCCTGTCGCCAGCTGGTTCCAAAAGACGTACCACGCAAAACAACCAAAATTGATGTGGAAGCTCAATTGTCTGCTGCTGTTTATCTCAAATGCACTTCTCACCGCTCAAACCTCGGCACAAGGTACGAGAGTGCCTACCTGGCAAGAAGCAGCACCAGCACCAGCAGCTAGATGCCACAAGTTACGGCTATCAGGCCAGGTAGTTCCTGCCAAAGATAGCGCTCGCTATCTGGGCTTGGTATATGGGCCAGAACGGCCTTTTAGTGCGTGCCGTCAGCAGTTGTGTGATACAGGTCGGTCCGCTATGTTTTCCTTAAGCGCAAAGCTGGACAAAATGAAGCTGTTTGCCCCCGATGTGCGAATGCGGTGTTTTGCAACCCAAGTCCGAGCAATTCTGTTGTATGGCTGCCAGGCGTGGGGCCCTTTTGCGCTGGCAGAGGTCGTGGACAGGGTGGGAAGGCGGCGGGATAAAGCCAACCTTGCGGAGGGCATGTTCGAAGCCTGTTTGAAGGATAGTGCAGTCCAGCTGCAGATTTTATTCATGAGGCAGGTAGTGGGGACGGCACGGCCATCCCACAGGCTGTTGTACGCGGAGCTGGCTGAACTCCCCTTACAAGATTACATGGTGAAGCAGATTCTCCGTTTCTGGAACCGCCTTCAAAAGCAAGTGGGATCCATTGCTCATGCAGTTTTACGGCAGGAGATAACCGATGCCCTGACCAACCCGGAATGGGAGGNTTGGGGAATCTCAATGTTACGACTGTTTTCCTTCTTGGAGTGCAACATTTGGAGCGGAATACCGCAAGAAGTCGTGGGGGTAAAGGAGCGTGTTGACTGGTTGTTGAGTAGACCTCTACCAGAAGGAGCGATAATAACGGCACTAAGAGAGCGTTTGATGAGCGGCTGGGACCATACGCGTCTGACTGTCTTGCCAGAGGAGTACCCATCAGATGGGAAGCAACCGGGAGTGCAAATGGCGAAGTATAAGCACTGGATGGGGCTGCCCTTTTCGGGAGCCGCAGCCGTCATGTGGCCAACACATGCTAAGGTTTTCATTCCTCGTTTAGCACATCGTAAGCTAATGCAGTTTCGTTTATGTTGCTGGGCTTTGGAGGCGAACAGAGCACGAAGGGGCAAGTACCATGTCCCCAGGGGGCAGCGGTTTTGCCACTGTTGTGGTCCTAATAGCCGAATTGAGGATGAAAAACACGTGTTATTGGAATGCCCAGCCTATAATGATATTCGTGCTGAAGAGGGATTCGATCATCAACAGAGTATGTTGGAGGCCATGCAATGGGAACCCGCACGTCTGGCGAGGATGTTGGAACGTATGTGGGCTCACCGAAACTCAATTACCCCCTTTGGACGCTAGTCTGGGCTGATGTGCGGTGTTTTTCCTTTTCTCCGTGGCTTTTAGGCGTTGTAGTATTGCCCTTGGGCCTTCGGCTCGTATGGGTAGTCTTACAGGTATGGGGTCACGCACCCCCAACCATGTAACACACACACACACACAGATGCCACAAGTGCCTGTTCACTGATTATGCCCGAAGTACACGACATCTACGCACGAATGTGTGAGTGTTATAGTTCAGCTACATACGTACATACATACGCATGAATTTGTCTCCTGCATGCTCTTTCCTTGTTCTTGGCGTCCGAACATCCGTCCTAGGATTTGTCCGTATATTATGTTGTTACAGGGTGGTTAAGCTTCACCAGCGGCCCCCTTTCCCGAGGCAGTTCCCTGCTCTCCCCTGCGAGAGGGGCACCCTAATCCATTCACCCCATCCGACTTCAGAATGTATTCGTTGGGTTCAGCAACTCATCACCAGCATCCAACAAAATCTAGCGGATCAACGGCGCCTCAACTTAGTTCCTGGTCAGCTCGCAAGTTGATATAATCACGTCCTACACCGTCCACAAGATGGGGGGCCACCTCCCAATTCAACACCCCCCAAACACCCGAGGGGTCGGCAGGCGGATATTATGTATGCCTAGTTCGTACGCTATTCGCCTTGCTTGTATTCTACCGGTCGGCATGCTGCTACATGGTTCTTACTACTTATCGTTCGTTTGCGATGCTGCTGCTCGCTGACTCGGCTTGCTGACTCGAACCGCCTGACCTTCGCCGGAACGGGCTGCCGCCTGGTTCCAGCTGCCGCCGGCACCAGCGCCTCCGTGTACTTCAGCGGCTCCCGCTACGGCCGCAACCTTGGCCTCCTTGGAGCCTGGAGCACCGCCCCCGACTCGGCCTTCACAGCCGTGTGGATCGGTCGCCTGAACTCGACGAAGACACCACAGACCTACTTGACCATGAGCCGGATCCCCGGAGAATATTTCTGGGAGACGTATTGGGTTCAAAGCAGTTTGTTCGTGTTCGGAGATCTCGGCGAACTATTCGGCATCCAGGAGGATATTTCTTCGCCTCCCGCTGGTCAGTGGACCATGGACGTGTTCTCCCGGCGGCCGGGTGCAACCTCCGCTTACCATGCCCGCTACAGCTCAAGTGGCAGCCTCTCCCTGACCTCCTTAACCAGCAAGCCCTGCAGACTGGACAGGGATAACCTCGTGGTGGGGGCTGATTACCGGGACAACAACAAGTACCTGGTGGGCAATGTGGCGGTGTTGCTGATCTACAACCGGTCGCTGTCTTCGTCCGAGCTGCTGGATCTTGCGCAGGGCTATGCTTCGCGTTTTGGATGGCCTGCACCAGTCAGTGAGTCCTGCGTTCAAACTTGTCATAGCTCACGGCTATTATGATGTGTGGGACTGGGAGGTCATATCTTCACCCTGCGGCCACTGCCCGGCAGACCCTGCCTTCCCCAGTATTTCGGGGCATCCTCATCCAGTCACTCTATCCAACTTCTCAGTGGATCGCTCAGGTTCCGCAGCCACCACCGGCATCTGCCAGATCGACGGCGGCTGATCAGCTCCGTTCTCGGTCAGCTCGCAAGATAACTTTATCACAGGTCACCACCATCCGTCGACAAGGGGCACTTGTAACCCCCATCATTCAAAGAATTTGCAAACCCTGACAGGACTCATTACCGAAGATTCCGAAGGCATAGATACGTGCCCTGTCAATAAGAAAGGAGGTATGATACAGGCAGGGTTCGAACCTGCGCCCTTTCGGATAGGAGCCTAAATCCTACGCCTTAGACCACTCGGCCACCGTACCATACAAATTCTGTTCAGATGTATCTTCTATATAGAGAGCAAAACTTGAGCAGGACGTAATAGCATTTGTACAATAAAGTTAATTGTTTCTAAGCGGTGTTGGGACACGGATGGTTCAGCCCCAGCCACATGGCAACGGTTCTGGGAGAGTGGTCACACGGATAGGGGCCCCAGGCATTAGCTGCGAGACCAACACACTGGCGTCTCCGTCGCTGGTCTCCTTAACAAAATACGCCAGCAGGGCTAATGGTCCTGGAGTTTATTTTTCTTACGTTATTTTAAGGCGCCCTCCGCTGTGGAAACGCCCATTGGTGCCCTGTAAGCCACACAACCCCGTCCTGGTAACACCAGTGGTCACCAGTGACTGGTGGCACCTGGACGTGAGGCAATGTTCTCATCAGGTTTTGGGTGCACATCATGCCCCACGCCGTGACGATACATATGCAAGGCTGTGTACCAGCTCCCAAATTAAAGCCCTGCGCTTGCATGGTTGCAGACAGCAGGCATATAATTCTGGCTAATAAGCCGCTGGAATATCCTGGCCTGGCTCTCAGTTGGTCGGGGGAACTTATACGGGCTGCTCTGTTAGGGCTGATGACGATGCTTGGGTGGTAGGGACGGGCCCACTTGCACCTCCATGGCGGAACCTCTGCGTACGAAATACTTTCTAACATGTACTGCCATCTGCCTGGCTCCACTCGAGCCCGCGCCCGTTCGAGCAGGAGCTCTCGCTCAGGAACTGTGAGCACTTCTGCTCACTTCAGGCAGAGTCACTACACTGCTAAACCGTGCCTGTGTATTCCGTCGCCAACCTGCCACCTGCCACCTGCCACCTGCCACCTCCTGTGTGCAGGGCCTCCACCTCCACAACCTCCGTCAGCAAGGCCATCGCCACCACCGTCCCCACCCCCAACTTCGCCACCACCGTCACCACCGCCTTCACCACCCCCCTCGCCACCCCCTTCACCGCCACCTTCACCACCACCTTCACTGCCTCCGTCTCCAAGCCTGGGCCCCCCACCAGGTACAAAACGTTGAGGGATTGGCTTACAGCGAGGTAGAGGGATGTATGAATTGATCTGTATTACCATACAAAACTGCTGCTACCCAGCAAAACAGTGATGAATGGCTGAGTCTAGGAACACTTGATTGCTTTTGGTGAACTTGTACAGCAGGAGACAATCCATGTGGGTCGGCTGTGATCAGCCTGCTACTGGTCTGCCGCATGTCAATAACGAGCCAACATGCACATGGCAAATAACTGGTTCGGCAGAACAGTGATAATGCAGAATGCAGAAACTGACAGCAAGACTTCGCCATACCACCAACCAATTTCACGGACGCGCTAACCCTAACTATCCGCACCGGTCTGCTGCCGCCTCCAGGCCCGCCGCCTCCAAACCCAATTCCAATCCCAGGTACGTTGGGTGCAGGCATTGCTTATTATATACATACAGACAGACAGACATGCAGACATGCAGACATGCAGACATGCGGACATGTAGACATGCAGTAAAAAGGGTTCAGCTCCCTTGGGCATCTCCCTGAGTACCATTGCCTGGTGTTACCATTGCCCCCGAGAGATCCTAGAATTGAGACTTGACTGGGTCGAAAATCCTTCCGATGGTGGAAGGTATATTGCCCCTAGTCGATAGACGGAGGTGACCTGGGATAAAATTGACTTGCAATCCGACCAGGAATGGAGTTGGGTCGCCGTCATTCCGGCAGAGTCCGTTGGATGCCGGTGGTGGGTGCGGAACCTGAGCGATCCACTGAGAAGTTAGCTGGGTGACTAGTCGAGGGTGCCCCGAAATATCGGGGAAGGCAGGGTTTCGCAGGGTAGCTGCCACGGGTGAAGATATACCCCCCTGTTCCACACATCATACATACATGCAGATGTGCAGATGTGCACAGACCAGCAGACATGTATACATGCATGTACACATACAAAAGGTAGGCGGTTGGCCGAGGTGAAGACTTAACGCGTCTGGCGTGGGTAGGTCTTCCCTTGCCACGGTTTTTTTAGTGTGTAGTGGAGCCCCCTGCATAGAGCCCCTGCCCCGGTGGCGTTTTCTGTTTGTTCTTGATTTGGTGTCCTAGAGGGGAGAGAGAGCGTGATTAGGCTAGCCAGGCGTAGTGGGGGCAGGTAGCCTGTTTAGGGTTCCTGGAGGTGGTGTGGCGCCTCTCCCGTGGCTCTCGCTTAGTTCAGTTTGCAGTCTTCTGCACCGCTGTGTTGCCTAGCCAGGGGCTGGGAGAGCGCCCCCGGCTGGCGTGAGTGAGGGAGTGAGGTGCGCACAGAAGAACAGACAAACGTGGAGCCGCACGCCTTTCCCTGTGCTGTGTTTCGGCCCGGTCAGGGCCCCGGGTGCTAATCCTTTCTCATCCGTTCTCGGGTGAGCCGCCCACAGTGTAACACCCCCATCAACAACAACAACAAGCAATGTACAGACAGAAAAGGTATTGCATTTGTCCGCAGTGTGACCTTAATAAGCTATCTGTTAAGAGTACCGCACAGAAAGCGCCACAGCAGGCGTTGCACTGATGATGTGGCCGCACCCGGGGCCTTAATTATTGCCCCCCAGCAGTGCGCGTATCCCTGCTGGTTCGCTTCCATGTAACATGCAAGGGGTTTACCCCCCGTTTTATGCCATAGGACAGGTCCGTGCAGCCCCAATCTCTCAGGACCTGACGGGGCAGCTGCGTAGTAGGCAGCTGCTGGCAGGCTTAGAGCGTATTCCCTGTGCGGATTAAGGAAGGTACCGGATCCCTGCGCTGATTCCCGTAGTGGAAATCCCAAGCATGCAGCCCCTCTCCTGCCTCCATTGCTACACATAGCAAAGCGCCGGACAGGTCCTATCACTGGTGTCACTTTTCGCTGATATCGGATAAATACATAACATGAGTGTTGGTCACATTCCAACATCCATTGCCACCTATCATTAAAGGCCAATAATTCCAAAAAACATACGCCTTACAGTTTGGTCGGCTGATTGCTGGAATGTGGGCAATTCGACCGGTCCTGCTCGGAATTCCACTGGTCAACGGGCTATTTGCGACAATGGATAAAGGAAAATAGAAAAGTCAACGTAGGGCCTTGAGGAAGGAAAATGGCTGACTATGAATTTTCCCGCTCGGAAGTTAATGTTCAGTTTGAAAGTTATCAGCAGGTCTGAGGCCCTGATAACTAGTGTGCCACTAATGCGGACTTAGTGTCCGAGGCGTTTCCACTGGGCCCAGGGAAAGAGCCGAAGCTTGACCAGGTCTGCGGAAACTTTTCGTTTTCATGCGAAGACTACGTTACAAACAAGTACCTGCACGCAAGGAAAGAACGTCTTCGTGAAAGGGTAGGGCCGGGTGAGGGCACACTACCACGAAGCGGAACACCAAGGCCTACAGACCAACCGCTTCACGGCAGCACCCAAACGTAGCTACGAACAACCCGAATTAGCAAACACTGTCGCGTGCCGCGACACAAGAGCCACACTGGCTCGTACGCCATACGGCAAAGACACTCCGTATTCGCAGAAAACCTTAGTTTTCAACGCTTCACGTAGAAAACTGTCAGTAATCGGGAGGCCCTTTGCGGAAAGGCTGCGGAAACTGCGGAAAGCTGCGAAAACTATAAAACGAATATGTAACGATGTTTTTTAGCTCTTCTCAGTGTGGCGATAACATGGACAGTCTGAAACCAGCTTGTGGCAGTGCGGTTCCAGGCGGTTCTGTCCGGTGGGATCTAGAATCTGGTGGATTCCAATCGTGCTCGAAGGTAGAGCCATCTAAACGTATTACTGGGGGTGGCGGGGGCCAAGCGATCAACTATTGTGTGCCCACACCCTTGACGGTGTGCTCTGGGATGCTCAGAAATTGCCACTCGTATGTTACATGGGGTAAGGGCCCGAGGAGCCCTGAAACACTGAATAATAATCGTCTCCCTGTCCGTTGCGGAGCAGTGACATGTCTGCATGCCTACTCCACATACCCGTCCGGCATGTCTGCATGCCTCACGGACAAGTCTATGCTGACTGTGCATTAATCCAGTAATCGTCCAAAAAATTTGAATTCAAAATAAAAAAATCAAAAGGAATAAAAAAAGGCGAGAGGGCTAATGTATCTAAAAATGGCACCGCACAACGATAACTGCAACGACGTGGCTCTGTGAACTTCAACCACGTTTACGGACATTGTGGAATCAATTATCAAAAAACCTTCTTCTGAGCAGAAACACAGTCAATCTCTATGACTTCGGCAGCCCCCAGGTCGGGGCCAGTGGTTGTTGACATTTGACTTACCGTACTGCCACGATTCTTTTGTGATACGCAATTGGTATGGCGTCCCCAAATGCATAGCAGTGGAAAAAGGTCTTACAGGGAGTCTCCACGTGGAAGTCTGTTAACTATCTCCGCTAAAGTTATTGGCGCGCTAACAATGCCTAACAAAGTACTGTCTCCACTAGCAGCCCCGAAACCATATTTTTACCGTCTTTTAGCGCCATTTCGCTCCTGCTTGAGCAAAATTTTTTTGAACATTAAAGAGAAATGAAGACGGCAGTTGTCCTGCAAATTGTCGCTGGGCTGTTGCCCATTCCCATAGCAGCATGGACGTCCGCAAGGCTAAACAGTCTGGGCAGCGGACTCAGCATTGGCTGTTGAATGGTTGCCATTAAGGCATTGTGTAATGAAGTAGGATAGTTCTGAGACGGAACCGGCGAGGGCGACTGGTTCTGTGACATTCTTGGTCAACGGCAACGGCGAAAGTCGGCAAGCAGTCAAGGTAGTAGACGGAAAGCAAAGGAAAGACCGGGTGATATCATAATTTAAAAAGAAGTCACGAGATTTTCCGCGCTCAAAGTTAACAAATTTAACAATGCTTAAAGCTGGTCCGGGGCAAACTATAAATTTTGCGGACTTATTGGACGTTTACAGGGTGTTTCCACTGAAAAGTTTGTTAGCGACGTTTTTGAACATTCTCACCCGGCACCTCGCCTTTGCTCACTTTCTTTTGCAATATCGCTTATTCTATATAAATGTATGATAGAAATGAAAAGGGAATGTTGGGAGGCGAAGGAACGGCGAAGAACGTAGGGCCCATGTGGAAACAGGGGCCTTGTTAGCGGTCCAATAAGTCCATAAAAGTTATAGGACCCCCGGACCAGCCAATAAGGTCCGATAACTTTGAGCGCGAAAATTTTGTGAGCTCCTTTTTGAAATCTACTTGCACCCGGTCTTCTGTACACTTTCAGTCTACAACCCTGACTGCTTGCCGGCCTGCGTCGTTGACCGAACCGAAAATGTCGCAGAACCAGTCGCCCTCGCCGATTCCTTCTGGCAATATGCCCTCTGCTCTCCACAACGCCTTTATGGCAACGATGCAGCAGCCCCTGCAGGGCGCGCCGTCTCTTCGCTTCGACGCCGATGTCCATGCTGCCGCCCAGGCCGCTTCGCAGAGCATCACCTCCGACCCTCATTTCTCCTTTACTGACTACAATATTGTCCTCGAATTAGGGTGTTTTGGCGCTAAATGACGTGCAAAAAGATGGTTTCGGGGCTACTAGTGGAAACACCATTTTGTTAGGGTTTGTTAGCGCGCCAATAACTTTTTCGCGGCTAACAAACAGACTTTTCAGTGGAAACACCCTGTTAACAAGGGCCTTGTCTCCACGTGGGCCCCCCGTTCTTCGCCATCCCTCCGCCTTCCGTCAAACCTTTTGCATTTCTATCATTTATTTATATAGAATATGTCATATTGCGAAACAGAACGTGCAAACCTGACGTCCAGGGTGAGAATTTTTAAAAGGGTCGCTAACAAACGTCCACGTGGAGACTCCCTGTTAGGCAAAATTTTATGGGCATCACCAAACTGGCTGTCACAAATGTGTCGTACACCGTGTTAACGGTATCGACCAACAGTAAAAGCCCTCCAGAAGACGCTGTTGGCTTGTAGTTATCTTCGTCTTTTACCCCTAAGTTGATCGGACAAGAACTTTAGCTTACAGGCCCACCCTCAGAAAGCGCGCTCAGAATGGCGCCTAAACAGCTTAAGCTTACTAGCCTTTTACCCAAGCTCGACACCAATGCTCCCATTGAGCTCAGGGCAGGCATTCCCAGCGTTCGAGTGGCGCCGGAGGTTGAGGCTGCAAGGACTGAGCGCGAGAAGGCACATGCCGATGAGAGGATTGCAAAGCTTGCTGAAGCGGACGCTGAGGCCGGCAAGGCCATCATTGAGCAGGCCACGGCTCCTGGACACCAGCCAGCGTAAGCGCGCGAAGCGTGAGCACGCCCGCGGGACGCCCTGGAGCCGTCACCAAAAGTGTATCACAACTGTAGATTTTTCTCGTGACCGTCCCCAAAATTGCATATCATCAAAATAATTTCAGCGTTAATTTTGGGCCTTCCCCAAAACACGTATCACAAAAGAATCGTGGCAGTACGGTAATCTAATAACTCCATAGTGTAAAACGCAGTCTTTAAATGGCAAACGCATGCCTGGAGTCTGTTTTTCAATTTCCGCCGTACAGCAAACGCGGAAATGCGGATTCTCTTTCCGCATTTCCGCCAATCTGGGCTTCGCTGCGGAAAGCGTGACGAAACCTATTTACGCAGGTTTCCGTTTCCGCAGGTTTCCGTTTCGGCTCGTTCCCAGACTGGGCCCTTCGGCTTTTCGCGTACGGAGCCCCATTACGCGATTTTTTTAGAGAACTTTTACTTTCTATTAATGTATTTAACTAGTTTCTTATCGCCTGGGTGATTCGCTGAGCCAGGTGTGAGATTTTTTGAACTTAATGTTAGTGTGCGGCCAAGTGGAAACACCCTGTTAGATATGTCCACAGAAGACCTTGCTTCCCTAGATGTGGAAATTAGGAGAGGAAGGGGGCGTTAGGCCCACCCAGATGTATGCGCATGATTGTAATTTTTTTGTTAGTCCAGAGATTTTGAAATTTTAATAGTATACTGCTCTTGGCAATGGCAGATAGAGGTTCGTTATCGAATGCGGTTGATCGGTTAAAGAGCAATACACGGTTTCGAATGCATGAACTTGAACCAAAGTAGGAATTATGCACACCTGTAGTTCACAAAGCAGTACAAGGGACCAATAATGTTTCTGATAGTTTCGACTGGTGCAGCATGCGCGCTCTCTATAGAATTCATCGCAAATAGTTTCAGTCCTGCTTCAAGCGGTAAGGTTCTCTCTTTAAAATCTGAATCCTCGCGCGCCGAAGCGCCCGACCTTCACGCCGCAACTTTCCAACGAAATACTGCATGTTGATTAAGTGCTCGTCCTGTAGTGTAGTACGGCAAGTGCGGCGCGGGAGGAGCAGACCGGAATTGGCCAGAGGACAGTGACTGATACGGTAGTGCGTTACAAAGATTAGCTGGGAACAAAGCGCTGAATCCAGACAACGCTAGTTCGCCAGTCAACCGTGCAAGCAAGCGCAAGTCAGAACGTCGTCTGTTGGGGATTTTGAATTGTTTAAATAGTGATTTACTTTGTATTCGGGACCCAGCTCAATAGTAAAATAGATAAGGCGATTTGACGTTGCTGGCATATCGGTCGCCAGTAACAGCGAAGTGATGGCAGAGCGCGAGCAATCGCGCGGCGGAGGCCAAGAAGGCTTGGAGGACATCCTCCAACAGCGGGACGAAGGAGGACACCAGAATGGCGGAGCACCTAGTTACCCGGAGGGGGCCGATGCGGTGAGTAACAGACGCCAGCTATTGCTCCGCGCGGTCAGACTGTAGGCACAGCCAGCCGCCGCAAGTTCTGTTATATCAAAGGCATGGGAGAGACCGGACCCAGTTTTAAAATAGCGGGAAAGGGATGCGCCGCCGCTGTTGTTTGACCAGGCTGGATTAGAAGCTACGGGTCAGGCTTAGCTTATGAAGAACACGAAT